ACTTCCATATTGCTCCCACTAGGATGTAGTATAACCAACTGATTGTCGGCAACATAATTGCCTTGGTCTTGTATTTCATATAGAAACAAGTCATTACCTATCTCGCCCTTCTTAGGAAAATCGGTTTCTAAGAATGTGACATTTCGTGATTCAAACTCAGTGATGCTACCACTTTCTTGTTCTCCTATGAAGACGTATCCCTTTGAATGTTTTGAGTATTGTATGAAGATACATTTCTTCCCCCTTGGACCTAATTTTCCATATTTATGGGAAGGATCATGAACATAGGCAGCACATCCCCATGGTTTTAGGAGACTTAAATTGAGTTTCTGATTTGTCCATAACTCATATGGTGTAGTAGTAATAAATTTGGATGGTACTCGATTGAGGATATATGTGGCAGTCAATAAGGCATCACCCCAAAAGGTGATGGGCAAGTTTGCTTGTACCATCATAGACCTCACCATCTCAAGTAGGGTTCTGTTTCTTCATTCTGCAACACCATTTTGTTGCGGAGTTCTTGGAATATTAATTGACGTTCTATTCCCATTTCATCACAAAAATTTCTGAACTGATCATACGACCTCGATCGGTTCGCAGAACTTTTATCTTTTTATCTAATTGATTCTCAACTAAGTTTTTAAACTTCTGAAAGCATTCTAAAGCTTCTGATTTTTGAGAAATCAAGAAAACATAACCATATCGAGTGAAATCATCTATAAATGTGATGAAATAAACAGCCCCATGTCTAGCCCTCACATTCATTGGACCACATATGTCAGAATGAATTAGTTGCAATGGAACTTCAGCTCTTATCGCTTTTCCAAATGGTTTTCTTGCTGTTTTTCCAGCTAGGCAATGTTCACAAGTAGTAAGTCTACTTTTGTTAAGGATCCTAACACTTCTCTGCTAGGATTTCATTCGTTGTTGCCAATAGGCCAAGCTTGAATGCCATATATTCACATCACATTATTTGAAGATGTAATAAAGAAAAAATATTACTATAATTATAAGCAACATCAAGTACTATAAAACCATTCGAATATAACCACAACCATAGTATATTGTGTCCAAAATAATGGACACCAGACTGGAAAAGTTTCAATAAAACCAAGTTTAATAAGTTTAACACGGAAATCAAATTTCGACGAATATCAGGTGCAAATAACATGTCTGTCGGTATAGGATTCGACTTCCACGCATGATCAATTTGCATGTGCCATCCCTTTAACTTCCACTTTTGAATTGTTACCTACATATATTCATTTTGTTTCCATGGTATTCGTAGAAAATCCATGAAAGCACTCCTGTCTTTCGCTAGTGGTCTGTTGCTGCTGAATCTATAGTCCACAAAGGATGAGACTCAGTTAAAAACAGAACTGGAAACATTTATATAACTTACTTGTGCAAACAAGTAATTTACCTTTTTTGGCTCGCTACAATCGCGAGCAAAATGTCCCTTGTTCCATAATTATAGCATTTCACCTTTGCCATATTTTCTTCCTAGCAGGATGGTTTCCTTTTCGTGTTTGAAGAACTTTCTCTTCTTCCCTTGAGCCTTATCAGAATTGCCTTTTCTTTGGGATCCACCTTGGAATTTACGTTTAAATCCCTTCCACCATGTGAACTGGAACCAGCCATATACACATCAGTATTTGCCTTACTCGCATTAAGGCAGTCTTCTTCCAGTTCCAAATGGCGTATGACATCTTCTAAATTCTGATGCCCTCATTGTGGGTAAGGTGTATTTTCATATGTTCCAATTTTGAGGCAATGACCTTATGACAGCTTGAAACTGTTGTTCATCAGTTAAGACATGACCTGCATCTCTCAACTCACTTATTATGTTTGACAAATGCCGTAAATACTCTCATAGTATGTTCAGGCTTCTTTTTATATGTGTCAAACTTGATAGTAGTGGACCAGAGTTTGGTAATGGACGTACCGCCAAACTTTGTAGCAAGTGCGGACCACATGTCCTTGCTAATTCGTAATCCCGGTACTTTTTCATGAGATCATTGTCCATGCTACTCAACAAAGTAATGCGAGCAGTGAATTTTCTTCTTCCATATGTCATAAGCTGCACGGTCTCGTCTATGTTGAGCCGTGACTCTTCTTTAGGCTCTTCCATGGTTGTAGTAAGAGCTTCAAGAACCTCTTGTTTTCCAAACATATTGGATTTTCAGCTCCATGTCTCATAATTGTGCCGTTAATTTTTCTCCTTTGTTAAGTCGGCGACAATGTTCTAGATGCAGAGCCATTTCTAAACAAAATTACACGTTGGATAATGCAGTTATTAATGCTCGGAACATACATATTCATTTAATTATTATACCAATAATAATTGTATATTAGATTGGAATCAAAAGTTAACAGTGTCAACAATCATCATCCAAAATTCCAATTTCCAATTATCATAGCTATAATTAATTGCAATTCAAAAAATATATTTAGACACAATATATAAAATTAAATCAACTCAATTCACATAAAATTTTAAATTTTAATAAAATATAAAATTAATTCCATTGTAATAGAACTCAACATGTAATGAAATTAAAATATACAATTTCAAAAAAAATTAAGTGTACAACCACATTCCTAAAATTGGGAAGGATCTGATAATCCTTATCCTAAGGTCTTTATCTAACTTGTAATAAACTAGGCAGGGGAACTCCCAGTTTTCTATGATGTCCTTTCGAGTGGGAGCTCCTATTGATGCACCAGCTGCTTTCGCACCCCAATCTAGTACTCCTTGATATAGTTGTGACTAAACGTCTATAATTTTTGTCATCTTTAAAGTTTGAAATTTCAGCTTGGTCCAAACCATATCAAGGAGACCAACGAGATTAGGGTAACCAAGAATCTCTCTTAGAACTTGGTATTTCGACTCATCTTCCTTTAATCCCCCTATCCAGACAATTTCCTGAATCTTTTCATTCACATGAATGAAATGATTTACGAGTTGCACCAACTCATCCTCTGTGTCTCTTAAAATCAATGTGTGAGTTTGTAGAGTTCTAATCATGTTCATAACCCTTTCTCTTTGAGCGGGTGTTTTAGCAACCACTGCACGTCTATAACGTAATATTTTTCTATAACAAATACAAAAAAAAACTATTTATTTATCAAATAAAGGTTGACTATATTTGATAAATAATATATATATACGTGTTTATGGTTCAATAACAAAATTAGACTCATAACAATATACCAAGTATTCATTTTTATTCCTTACAGCAAAAGAAACAAAATTTAGAATACTTCACGTGCCGCCAAGAAGCGGCCACGCGCCCCCACGCGCCGACAGTAGCTTCCACGCGCCCCCACGTGTCGGCAGGGTACTCCATGCATGTGACACGCGCTCACATAAATTCGGGTCGGGTCGACCTGTTTCACATTCAACCGGGTCAATCCTGACCGGAGTTGGCCCGTTGACCTTGTTGACTTTACGGGTCGGGTGTTGACCGGGTTTGACAAACCCGTTTGGTCTTGCGGGTCATGCGTTGACTGGGTTCGACTGACCCGTTTGACTTTACGGGTCGGGTTTGACTCATTACCGGGTTTGACTAACCCGTTTGGTCATATGGGTCGGGTCCACGGGTCAACTTGACCCAATTTTTTATTTTGGTTATGGGTTGGGCCGGATAGGAATATATTGGGTTTGTGAATATAGTTAACACAAAAACAAAATTAGTCCAGTGGTTAGGTAATTGGGCTTCAGCCATGGAGACTTGGGTTCAAGTCACACCAACCACGCTGATTTGAATTTTTTTCAAAAAGAAGTAAATCAGGAAAAAAAAGACATGTCGATTCGTGTCGTCTTCAACCTCTGTCTGGGTCTGCAACTGGGTACCTGACCTGAAAATTAACCCATACGAAACTTGAAACTTCAAAGAGGCATATCTAAGTCATTTAACTCCATTTTTTATGATTCAAAAACCATTTTCTTCATAATTTCATAAGGAATTTAATGGTCTAATTATCATTACCAAAAAAAACAACTTTTTACGTACAAAATTTGAAAAATTCAGAACTGCATTTGACAAACCAATAACATGCTTCAACATTAATAGTATGAATTTAAAACAATATGAAACATGGCTCTGATACCAATGTTGGAAATAACATAGAATAACATATATCCTAACATAATCCCAAGATCATAGTCACCATTGCAATTACATTTGTATATAAATGAACTACAATGAATTAACATAGCATAAATAACTCTGTTCCTTATCTCTGAAGTAATAAAGTTAATCTAGAAGAAAACCACGAAGTGTATTTCTCTTTTCCAAATTCTAGAGAGAGAGAGCATATTTTTCCTTTTACGTTTTGGTGAGTTTTCGTGAGTAACCTTTTCTAAAAGAAAAAACCTTCCTTTTATATGGGAACGGTCCGTGAGAAACTGCCGAAGGCAGTTTCCACTTCTCACACCCTTTCATCATGGGTGTATTTATCCAATAAAATGCAACTCCGATTTCGCGGTTGAGCACTAAGATTGCACCAAGATTGCTGTTGATCTGATCATTTCCGAGATATCCGAGATTTGAGGTTATCTATGAGCTGGTTGAACAACTATCGAGATTGTTCGCGACTAGCTTATGCTGAGGTCGAACTACATCTCGACGTCGAACAATCGATTGAGTCGAACAGAATCTGAATTGGGCTATAACCTCGTTGACCTCTAACGTTTCCGAACTTGATGGAAAAATCACACACAACCATTATCTAAAAATTTGTTTTAAGAATAAAATGGTAGGGGTATATAATATAATTGAAAAGAATAAAATGTTAACTCTTTTGAAATTAAAAAAAAAAAAATGAATTGACGGACAGAAATTTGTGACATCTCATAAAAAAACATTTAATTTTAAAACTTTGAAACCGTATAAAAGAGAGCCATTGACTTCTTATTAGGACTACTCGACCTTCAAAATTAACAATCTCAACACAAAGATAATTGATGTAAACATAGATGAGTTGATGTAAACATAGATAAGAAGAATTTCATTTTCAAGTTCCTCAGGACGGAGCCCTTTTTCATCTTTTGGTTTATCAAAAAGAAAGATACGCTCCATCTTGTGCCACTGAGGGATGAAGATGCTCAAGTATGCCATATTGTTCGCGCCATGTCAACTTCACATCCCTACCAGAGACAAAAGTAACTGGATGCATGATCTAAAACCGGCGGGATCCATTTCCCCTTCCGATTGAGGAAAGAAAGGCCGCTCTGCAACAGGTATCAACTTTATCATGCACCCAATTGGCCATGTGACGACTGCTATTACAGTACAATACACCCATTTCTTCCAATTCAATCTCTCTGTGTCAGCAAACTTCTTTAGGAACTCAACCATCGCCACCTGAAGAACTATAGTTATTCCCACAATTCCAAGGAACAATCGGTTCTTGTGAATGCCTTCAAATACGTTCTTTTTCTCCAACTTCTTGCATTGAACTCGTTGAAAACTTGGCAAAGAACAAAAATATTGAAAATCATTGTATTATTTACCTCAGGACTCACTCCAAAGATGGTCTCGCCCTTCCATTGTAAAGTCAATACAACTGCTATCTGATATACGGCTGGTAGTTAAATATTCCTCCATATAATGTTTGTTATTATGGGTTCTTTACAGCCCAAGGGAGATCTCCTCATTAACTCATTACTTGACCTCTCTGTAGCCAGTGCTAGAGCTCCTAGTGGGCTCATCTTAAGGTTCACCCACAGCCATTGAACTACTTTTAGAGGAACCTCACCATGAGAAACAGCTAAAATAAAGTTGATGAACAGAGCTGCAACATTAAGAGTCAGTTGAAACTGAAGGAATTTTTGGATGTTCTTATGAACACATCTTCCCCACCGTAGTAATATTACCACGGAAGTGAAGTTATCATCTAATATGACGATATCTGAGCTTTCCTTGGCTACCTCTATGCCTTGAATTCCCATGGAAAGTCCTATATCAGCTTCCTTTAGCACAGGGGCATCATTCATTCCATCGCTAGTTACTGCAACCACATGACCTTTCCTTTTCAAACATTTTACCATCAAAAGTTTGTCAAACGGAGAAGCCCTTGCCATCACCCGTATCTTGTCCACCTTCTCTATTATCTCTTCATCTGTATAGTTACGAAATTCTCTGCCTTCTACCACCTGCCCATTTTCAACTTGGTCATCCCACGTAAGAATTCCACACTCTGTGGCTATAGCTTTTGCTGTGAAGACATTGTCCCCAGTGATCATTTTGAGGTCAACTCCAGCTGATTTTCAAATTTCCACGGCTTCCTTGACCCTTGGTCGACATGGATCCTTGAGACCAACGATTCCCAAGAAAGTCAAGCCATCTTCTTTCAGCTTTAGATAGGTCTTCCTGTCTTCATTGTACTCCAATTCTTCTTCTGAAATTCGCTTGTGAGCAAAGGCAATGCATCTCAGGCTATTTGCTGCCATTCCATGGATTATATTTTCCATTTTCCTCCTCTCATCTTCATCCATAGTCTTTACGATCCCATTGCTCTCATAATAGTGTGAACACATAGCTAGGATCATCTCAGTAGCTCCTTTCCAGTGTACATGAATTTTGTTATCAGCATTTTTCCTAATTGAAACCCCGCTTTGTTTCTTCGCTGAGTTAAAGGTTTCAAACTGGAGAATGGTGTATCTTTGATTCACTTTTTCCATGTCCATACCCAATTCCTGAACAGCCCATGAAAGAATGGCTTTCTCGGTTGGACTACCAGAAAATTTAGGTACGAATCCTTAAACAAGTTTGGAAACACTACTAGTTGTGTTCAAACCAACTGCTTGGTAAAATAGTTCATGAATATCTGAAGCAACTACATTATAAGATTCTTCTTCAATGGGTTCTTGGCCAAGCCAAAATTTTGTAACTTTCATCTGATTTAATGTCAGTGTGACGCCGGGAGGTCGCGAAAAACCCCAATCTTGGCGAGGCTGAAAACCCCACTATGGATGCCAATCATGGTGAGGTTAAAATAAACCCCGCTATGGCGATAATAGACAAAAAGGCCACCTTGGTTGGCTAAGCCAAGGATAACTATAACCTCAAAGAGGAAGAGAAAGCAAATGCTTTAACTCTAAATATATTTAATAATATTCAAGGATGATTACAAGGGACAAAGTAAGGCTTCATTTATAGCCTTCCAAGTGAAAAAGTAAAATATAACTTTCCCATGTGGGACAAAAAAAAGTCAATATAATTGAAATCAAATTAATTTAATTTCTTTTCCTTTTTCTTTTATGCTCCTGTATCATTCTTCCGGGGTTAGAAGAGACTCGCCATTGAGTCCCACGTCTTCAGCATGTTCCTTAAAATTCATGCGGTATGCTGGTTTATTTGGAATGACAGAGCCAGGAATGAAATCAATAGCATGTTGAATATCTCGCATTGGCGGCAACCTAGGAGGCATCTCATCTGGCACAATATCAGAAAATTCTTGAAGTAAGTGCTTGACTTCCTCAGGCAAGGCAAGAGACACTTCATTTTTGTCGCACAATAGTAATAAACACACTTGGTTTATTTCCCGACAAGCTTTCTCAAGACCAGATCTTGTGATAAATGCTGCAGGCTTGTAATACCCAAGATGTCAAAGGTATGTTCCTAACTCAAAATAGTCCTTTAAATGTTTATTTTATGTTAAAAAGCATAAAATCTAACTAAGGGCAAAATAGTCAATTCATTTGGAATGGTATGAATCAATTATCCATAAAGAGGCTTAGGGGCAAAATGGTTATTTTGCCTATGGATAAGCATTGAAAAAGTCAAGGATGAGTAGGCTTCATTGCATTTAATGGCATTAATTAAGTAATAATTATGTCTAGTGTGAAATGACCAAAATGCCCTTATATGAAGAATTAAGGACTTATGAGTTATACAATTAAAATAATTGGGCCAATTGCATAATTTTGGAAAATAAATGAAATATTTTCCTATAAATGAGATGAAATTCGTTCAAGCCAAAGGAGAGAGCCTTTCTTCAACATTTCTTCCATTTTCTCTCAAATCTTCCATGAAACAAGCTTTCTTTCTCTAGGTTTTCAAGGAGTTTTGCATAATTTTTCAAGGAGAACAAGATAGGAGCCTTGGATCTTCAATTTGAAGGGTTTAAGGTAAGGATTAAAAACTTTAGTTTTGATGTGATTTGAAGATTTGAAGTAGATGTTGAGGTATAATGTTATATATGTAGGATTAAGGTGTAAAAGAAGTCAAAGGCAAAGGATTTGTTGGAGGAAGTCTTTAAAAAGGTAAGGAAGAACCTCCCATGACTTTAGGGTTTATGCTAGGGTTTGTAGATTTTTATGAAACCTTAAATTAAAGCTTTAAGGCATAGAATTAGTTGATGGCAAGTGTAGTTGAACTCATTTATTCTACTTATTGCCTTGAATTCATTATACATGAAGTTATTGCTATTTATGTTTTATGAGTTGTGATGTTTGATTGAAGAAAATGAAGTGTGGATACTGATTGTGGCAAAAATTGTAGTATTGGAGGCCACATGGTGTTGAATGGTTGCTATTAGAAGTGTTGATGTGTTGTTTGCATTAGCTTACAATGTTATAGCAATAATGGATGATTATGGGAATGAGATTTTACACTTCCTTTAAGATGTTAAAGACTATTAAGGGGAGGTTTATTTGATCCATAAGTTAACCTATTGGTTAATGTCAATAGGAATTGATGTGGCATAGTTAATATGAAAATTCGGATTTAGTGGGCTTAGGGGTTTTGTTAACCCTGCTTCAGTATTTCGACCATAACTTGAGTTATAAAAATCGAAATGAGATGATTCTTGAAGCATTAGAAAGCTAAGACACAGACCTATAACTTTTATGTTTATGCCAAGAGCCAATTCGTTTGAGAAAAGGATGGAAAATGGCCTGAAGCATAAACTGGTTATTAAAGTTTAAGATTTAACATAATCAATTCTTATGATTATGAATTGATTATTAATGTATTATTGTAATTATGCCATGTACTAATGTTTACCCATTAGTTATATGATCTTTGAAAGATATACATGGTCATGATGTCAATGCATGATTAATGTTATGAAATGGCATGAAGATGCAATGTAATACATGTTTTAAGATGATGTATGTGAGCAAGAGGTAATGTAAATGGATTGATAATCCATAGATGAATTAAAAGTATTAAGCTCACCAAAATATGTATTTACATGCCATAAGATGTTAGAGATGCAAATAGACATGATAGAGATGCATATAGACACGATGGAAAACGCGTAAGCATATCCTCGTATACCGGTTGAGGAAAGATGAATATATGCTTTAGATGCTAAATAACGCGTAAGCACGCCTCCCGATGATATGAGCTCTAGATGAAATTTGAGGCTAGATGATATGAAGTGCTTAAGATGCTAAGAAAGGTCCGATCGGCTAGACGTTAAATGTTTCATATGCATTTAGTTGCATTACATGAGTTATGATGTTATTTACATCATGAGATGATTTATACTCATGTTAGATGATTTTAGATGTTATGTCATGATATGTGATGTGTGTGTACACATTGATGTTTATATAGCCATGGGATAAAATGATGAAAAGCATATGAATTAGTAATAAAAGGGGAAGTATCCCTAGATGTAAAAGATAAGTGATGTGTTAACAGATAAACGGATCATTCCTTACTGAGCGATTAGCGCTCACCCTTTCATTGTTGATTGCTTTGCAGGTAGACTAGAAGCGAGGGATGCTAGAGACAGCGGGACTACACGTGAGGGGAGATGATTTATTATCATCTCGATATTTTTATCTTGATGTAAATATGTAAATGATAAATATTTGTGAAATACATTTGGAAGCTTCCACCCTATAAATATGTTTTGATCTTGTAATTTCTTAAAGTTTGTAAATTATAAGTTTAGATCCTGCGTGATATTTTATATGCATGTTTTGGATATTATTATTATTATCCTTATACAGATTTTTTCTAAATACAACTCGTTCTCCAGACATGTATCCTCGGGATTCTCAATGAGGGATATTCAGAGGATACCTGACTGGAGGGGGGGTTTACAAGGCTCCTCTAGTTTCTTCAAATGATTTTCTGGCCTCATAGGGGTCAACATTACCTTTACCCCATCCTTTTTGAAAGAATACATGTTTTTGTATCCATCATGAAGAACTTGACGATTATACTGTCATAGGCGTCCCAATAATAAGTGGCAAGCATCCATCAGAACAACATCACACCAAACTTCATCCTGATACTTATCCCCGATAGAAAATTGAACACAACAACGCTTGGACACCTTGACTTAGTTTCCTTTCCTCAACCATTGCAGTTTATAAGGATGAGGATGTGCTACGGTTGGAAGCTTCAATTTCTCTACCATATAGTTGGCAACAACATTTTCACAGCTACCCCCATCAATAATGACATTACAAACCTTCCCTTTAGATGTGCATTTTGTATGGAAAATATTGTGACGAAGCCAACTTGCGTCTTCGGTCATCATAACGTTGCTCAGATTGCGGCGTACCACAAGGGATTCTCCATTATCAGCATGTACTTCTATTATGTCCTCATCAAGCACTTCTACTTCACCTATTGTATCCTCCTTAGCATGATTTTCAATAACTTCTTCCTCTACAAGTGAAACAATTCTTTGATTTGGACAATCAGAAGCGATATGCCCAAAGCCTTGGCACTTGAAACATTTTCTTGAAGCGGCGTTAGAAGTGTGACTAGAACCACCCTCTTTATCATTTCTATAAGGAGGCTTGAAGGAGTTTACTTTAGGATTTGGAACAGGTGCTAAACTTTGTTCTCCACAGTTTGTTGTAGTCTCCCTCTGTCTCGCGGAATTTATAGTATTCTTTCGTGCTCGCTGCTTCTCAACCTTAATCACCAATTGGATAACATCAATCAGACTCCAGTATGGTTGTAATTGTACGACATCTACAATCTCTACATTAAGACCTCCCAGATAACGAGTGATAGTTTGCTCTTCTGGTTCATGGATATCACACTTCAGAAGAAGTTGCTCAAACTCCATTGTATACTCTTCTACCGACATGGTTCTTTGTCTTAAACTATGAAATTGAAGAAAAGTGTCTTGCCGATAGTGTGCTGGAAGAAACTTACGTTTGAGTTCTCGGCGCATCTTCTCCCATGTTCTGATCTTCTGACGACCCTCTCTTTCTCGCTGTCGTTTCAAATTCTCCCACCATATAGATGCATATTTCTTCAATTTTATTGCAACTAGTTTCACACGCTTCTCATCAGGAACATCTTGAAGCTCAAAAATTCTTTCTACTGTGTGTAACCAGTCAATAAAATCATCTGGCTGAAGTCTTCCCTCAAACTCAGGAATGTCTACTCTGAAGCTTGAAATCCCAAATTCACTGCCTGGACCCCTCGAACGGAACCTAGGAGATTCATCTCGAGATAAAGAGTCTTCCCCAAATGGGTTGGTGCCCTCACCTTCACTGTTGGAGCTATTACTGATTTCATCATCTTGATCTCGTGTGACTCCCTGTCTTGCAAGTTGTTCTTGTAGTTCTTTAATTTGGTTTCTTAATTCCTCAATTTCAATATCTCGAACAGTTCTCTGACGATTTGGAGGCTTTGGTGGCATTTTTGTGGTAGAGGTGATGAGGTATAAGAATCAAATAATTCACAGGAACTTGATATAGCAGTAAGTGCTACTATGATTCAATACGCACCAGGAAAATTCCCAAGAAAGTGGAGGGGTCACAAGCGTTCTCACTTAAAACCCACTTTCCTTAGACTCTTATTGTCTTGTTGACAAAATTTTCCTAGACATGCATATGAATTAAATAGCTACTCACTATCCTAAACCAAAGCTCTATAAACTAATGACTAGGTAAGGAAAAAAAAAACTAGAATAATGGCTACTTGAAAGTAAAAGTGAGGAGGAGGAAAAAATTACCTAAAGAAGAAACCAAAGCTCTGATACCAAGCTAACGCCGAAACATAACGAAAAACCCCAATCTTGGTGAGGTTGAAAACCTCACTATGGATGCCAATCGTGATGAGGTTAAAATAAACCCCGCTATGGTGATAATAGCCAAAAAGGCCACCTTGGTTGGTTAAGCCAAGAATAACTATAATCTCAAAGAGGAAGAGAAAGCAAATGTTTTACCATTAAATATATTTAATAATACAAGGAATAAAGTAAGGCTTTATTTATAGCCTTGAAAAAGTAAAATATAACTTTCCCATGTGGGACAAAAAAAAAGTCAATATAATTGAAATCAAATTAATTTAATTTAATTTCTTTTCCTTTTTCTTTTATGCTCCTGCATCATAGTGTGCCTGTTTTGTCTGTACAAAAAACAGTGGCTGAGCCCATTGTTTCGCAAGCCGAAAGTTTTCTTACCATTGCCTGATCCGCCATCATTCTCTTCATTGAAAAAGCAAGTGTGAGATTTACAGCCAACGGTAAGCCTACTGGGATGGTCGCTACCAAAATGCTAGCTGGAGCTGCAACAATATAAGCGACAGAATTGAAAACATCACCAAAATCTGTTTTACTACCATTATACTTCTTTCCGTGCTCATCTTTTGTTTTGCCGCTAAAATAGCGAACTACTAGAAAGACAAGAACAACGAGTGCTTGTAAAAGGCCTTCCCTCCAGATAGAGGAAGTTAGTCTATCAAGCCGAGCTTGTAATGGAGTTCTTTCATTTGAATCACCGGATATTGAGCTCATCATTTCACCCCATTGCGTGTTCATCCCGACAGACACGACAAGCATTTGAGCACATCTATCTGCTACTTTTGATCCGGAGAACAAGAAAGGATTATGTTCGGAATCAACTTCAACATGATCACTCTCCCCTGTCATACTCGACTCGTCTACTTGCAAAGAATATCCATCCAAGAACAAGCCATCTGCAGGAATCTGATCACCAATCTTGAGGAACACAACATCTCCAACCACAAGCTCAAATATGGAGATTTGTTGACGACGAGCGTCTCTAACAACTTCAACTTTGATATTTTTGCTTATTTTTGATAGCTTATCAAATTGAGTTGCTTGTCTGTAGTAGCTGAGAGCTGACAGAACAACAACCAGAAACACAGCTACAAATATACTTCCACCTTCATACCAACCTTCTTCCACCCCATGCTCTTTAATGCCGAAACCAAGAGCCAGAGCAGCACACACAAGAAGGATAAGAATGGTGGTATCTTTAAAAGCATCCATAACAAAATATATAATTGGAGGTGGCTTATGATAAGTATTACTGCCAAAAAGTTGAGACCTCTTACTAATATCTTCATTGTCACCGTTGATTCCCTTTTCGGGATTTGTCCCAAGAGCCGTGGCCACACCTTCAACTCCTGCAAGAAGGCCAAGAGAAAGCAAATCTTTATTCTTCACCATCTCTGTCAGCTTCTTACCATCAACATGGGGGTCAATGGAGTAGGACACAACTTCCTTAACCTCATCGTGGGAACTGCTAGGCTGCAAATCAAGAGCAATGTAACGAGGATTCTGCAATATTTCAGAATCATTTTGAATTTTGGGTACTAGAGAAAGCATAGCTGATAGCCCGATAAGAATAGATAGTCCAGTAAGCAAGACGCCATCGCTTCTGAGCTTTGGTGAGCATGGTGGTGGTAATGTTAAACAGTAATGTGCCACAATAATCGTAATGCGGGATTTTACTGTCAGACATGATTTCTTTAGGATAAAGAAACTGGAGAGTGGAGAATATCAGCTATGGTGCTTTTAGTTTTGTAAAACTTTTCTATGGTGCTCAGTGTTCACCCTGCTTGTCTACGAATCCCCTAATGTCAAAGTCGTAGCAATGTCAGCGTTGAAATCATTTTTCCAACAATTAGGCGACTAGTTATGAGTTATGACAATTTATGATGATACTTAATGGCTAAGATTTGTGTTTTATCTTAGAATCTATTCCAGATTCATTTATTAACTTATTTATTTGGTTTCCAACACCAAATGGCTTCGGCTTTTTTCCGAAACAAATTTCATTGGTCTCCCTCAGGCTATATCAATGCTTTCATGCATTCCCTTTCTAAAAGTCTTTTTAAGTCTCGACTACTTTTCTGATTTCGTCAATGTTTTCATGCCTCCTTCATTCACACCATCTTCAGTGACTTCAATCACTTTACGTTTCTGTTTCAAACACCTAAAAAGTTTGTCAAATGAAGACTATTCTATCTTCATCTGTGTAGTTATGAAATTCTATTCCTTCTACCACTTCCTTACTATTCACTTGGTGATTCTACCTTAGTATTCCACATTCTGTAGCTATAGCTTTTACTGTGAAAACATTGTCCCCAGTGATCTTCATTTTGCTCATTTCGTCTTCATTTGTGGTCTTAGTTGATACAATTATCTCATAATAATGACAACACATCGCTAGAATTTACTCAGCGGCCCCTTTCCACTGTGCACGAATTGTGTCATTTTTTCTGAGAGTAGAAGGTGTCAAACTGGATGATATGTTGCATCTTTGCTTCACTATTTCCATGTTCATACCGAATTCCAAAATAGTCTAGGTAATAATTGCTTTTTCACTTGGACTACCAGAAAATTCAGGTACAGATCCTGAAACAGCTGGTTTGCAAACACTAGCAGTTGTGCTCAAACCAACTACTTCGTGAAACATAGTCCCCGAGTATTTTTGGAAACTACTTTACAAGCTTCATGTTCTACGGACTCTTGGCCATGCCGAAATTTAGTAAATTTTATCTTATTTAATGTCAAGATACTTGTTTTGTAAGTACAAATAACTGTGGCTGAGCCCATTGTCTCGCAAGTGGAAAGTTTCCTTAATTACCATTGCCTGATTAGCCATAATTCTCTTAATTGAGTAAGAAAGAGTTATATAGTCACAGCCAATGGTAAACCTTCTGGGATTGCTGCCACCATAATGGTGGCTGCAACCTGCAACAATGTGAGCAATAGAGTTCAAATAATTTAAATTAATTTAAATCTGTTTTACTATCATTGTACTCCTTATTTCCAATCACATATTTTGTTTTCCCAGTTCAAAAATGAGCTAATAGATATACAAGAACTAAGAAAGCTACCAAAAAATCTTCCTTTCTAATTGATGGAGGAGCTTCGTCTGTCAAGCCGAGCTTGTAATGGAGTCTTTCATTTGAATTACAGCATATTGAGCTCATCGTTTCACCCCATGCAGTGTTCATCCCAACCGACACCATGAGCATTTTACCCCAGCCATCTGCTACTTTGAGCCGAAGAACAAGGATTATGTTCCGAATCCACTTCAATATAGTCACTTGTTACGACTAAACATAAAACCCATAATAAAATGGGAGGGAACCCCAGAGCTCGTTAAAAAATCAGCCATACTTCCTTTAATAATTAATTGACCCCTTTCTTCTATTCTAAAACATATGTTTATAATAAAAAATAATAATTAAAAGGATAAAACAAATATTTAACTATAATAATAATTAAAAGGATAAAACAAATATTTAACTATCTCCTAGGCGACCGAGTAATTCGATAAGGAGTCTTTGGTGTATTCCTCAAGAAACCTTGAATTCGAGTTCCTTCTCGGTTACTAATAAAGATAGTCACTAGAGTTCCTACCTGCCCGATAGTTCTAATGTCTCAAGAGATTAGCTGAGGTACATATAAATTAGCCCGAATACCCTCAGTAAAAAAAAAAAAAAAAAAAAAAAAAAAAAAAAAAAAAAAAAGATAAAACAAATATAAGCGCAAATTAAATTAACCCTAATACAAATAAGCTAAGATAAAACTTATCAATAACCCGAAATAATTTATTTAAATTATAGAGATAATAATTAATACCCTCTTAAATTATTAAAAATCTCGAGTCTCAGGAGGATTTTAATAATTTCAAAAAATCTTAGGTGTGCTAAGATTAAATGATCCCCGAAAAGGATGTATGAAATAAGCCCTTGTTTAGAAAAAACAAACTTAAATCGTATAGAAAAAAATAAAAAAATCTTAAGAAAACAACCCATCTTTTACTCTTCTTTATTTTTCTCTCTAATTCCATTCTCCCAAGGAAACCGAAAGTCTAAGAATGATAAGAAAGAAAGAAAGAAAGAATAAATAAATAAAATTCATTTTCTCTCATTTCACGTTGGCCCGACAAAGTATTATAACACAAAAGGAAACAAAGAAAAAAGTTGAAAAGGCAATGAGCTAAAGCAACATTTCCATACATGATATGCACGAAACCGTGAGCCCAGAAAAATCTTTGTTCAGAGGATTTTGATCATCTCAAACACTATTGAAAACTTTGATGTGTTTTTCCCGTGTTGGCGAGTCAAGAGGAAAGGAAAGAACTATGCAAGTTCTTCCATGGAAAAAAAAAAAAAAAAGCATGGTAAAATAAAAAATGAAAATTTCATTTCAGTAGTTTTCACTGCAATTTCCCAGCAGCTTCTGTGAGGAATTAATTATTGGAATTACTTTCTCTGCCATGACACCATTTTTGTTTCCGATTGGATGAGCAATTTGAAAATAGCCACTATTGCTGGGGTGTTTTGACTACAGCAAAAATACAAAGACCAAAACGTAAAAATACAAAGACCACGTTTATACTCCACCGAATTTTCTTTTTCCAAAAACGTGTGCTGGGGTGTATTTCAAGTTGTGTCAACGATAAGGATTTGGATTTTCAATTCCATCCTCAACCTTAAATCCATTTGACAACTTGAACCTCGTGTTCTTCAAGAAATATTACTTTAGGATCTTGCTTTGTATTTTGTAGTGTGGAACATGAAAAATATTACGTTGTAATTCATAAACATGTTTCGAGATTTCTTAGAATTGGAGAAATAAAATTATCTTGCACCAAACTTCAACGGTGGCAATTAGGGGTGAGCAAGAGTAACAGGTAGAACCGAAACTTACGGGTAGAACCGAAACTGGAACCTACCCAGAACCAACACTGTGTGGGTAGGTTCCGATTCCATTTTATTGAAACCGACACTGTGCGATTTCAATTCCAATCTATTTTATCGGAACCAGAACCTAGGAAAAGAACCTGAAGCAAGTACCCAGCTTGAAACTTGTTTGTATTTTGGTTTTGATTGAGAAATTTTATGTGAATTGTGATGAATTAATTGAACTCAAGTATTGCCTATAGATTAGAGGATTTATAAGTCACATTACATACAAATGAATAAGTAATCAAAAGTTAAAAACTACTAAATATAGGTTTTCTTAATTTGTTAGGGGTATATTTATAAACTTTTAAGGTATTTTTGTTATTTTTTAAACTAATAGGAGAGTAATTATCTTTACAAAATACTCGAGTAAGGAACCGGAACCTGCATTTCAAGTTTCAGTTCCGATTCTCCTAAAAAATGCAGGAAACCGCACACCCTTAGTGGCAATGTAATTAACTCTTTGGAATTATAAGCCAAATGACGTCGGGTCAAATTTAATACAAATTAAAAGATTGCTAGCAAAAGCTCAAATTACTATCCAATTTCGCTAAAATAATATTATTATTACGTGAGAAACAACACAGTTAAAAGAAATTGGTACCAAATAGATTAGTTGTTTACTCCTATAAGTCGTTGTGCTTTACTCCAGCACCTTGTTAGCATTCTCTTATCATTAAAAAAACAGTGTGTTAATTTGTAACCAAGAACTGCAAAAAAACACTACTACAAATTACAAAACATGAGGCAAGCACATTCAAGCTAACCTCAAAACAGAAAACAAACACTGCAGAACACTACTAGATGCACTTAAAAAAACTTGAATTTTAGTTTCACCTAGGACTAAAAGCCTCCACCACAATCAATTCTTTGTCGTTAAGATTTCATAATTCAAGAATCTAGCTACTCTAAACGCATGTAAATCTCATTCAATAAGCTCTATTATCATTGTCTAACAATAAAATTCTCCAAAAATTAACACGTTAAATTAATCATACCTTGGCATTACGTTAAGAACCGTTCGTAATTAGCATTAGAGCCGAGTAACTCACTTGCTCGGTAACACGTCACTCCAGATTCAAAATCACCAAATCCCGCCACGTAAACCTCTCCGGCAACGGCGCCAAACAATCCAACTTCTCAACCTCCTTGGCACTCACTCTCCCCACGGTTCTCGCCTCCCCAAACGACTTCAACAACTTCCCCTTAGCAACAACCAAATAAGCCTCCATTTCACGGACCTCACACTCTTCTCTCTCTTTCAAATCCGCGGGTTTCGCACCGCCTATCAGATTCCGCCATCACGGAGGCTTGCACTTGTTGGAGGCGTTGATGGCGCACCCGATCCTCGCGCCCTCTTCGCATTGCGACAGAATTTTGGATTCGCAGGACCGGTAAGCGGCGGCCCAGGATTTGGGACTCCTGAATGCGAGGAGGCAGGGGCCGTGAGAAGGATCGTCGCGTGGGGCAGCGGGGATGGGCCCGCGGAGTAAGGGGATAGGTTGATCGAATTTGACGGTGGTTGATGAAGCGGAGTACTCCTCTAAGTGTGGTTTAGGCGATGTCGTGGCCGTTTATTTGATATTTATCGGGGTATTTTTTCTTACTTTAAATAAGCAAAAT